GATGCACGAATACTTGTTGATTGCGGTGCATCACATAATTTCATATCTGAATATTTTGTTAAATGTCACGGCATACCAACGGATACCGTACGTAAAATGTCCGTCAGTGTTGCCAATGGTATAAAATCGGAAACGGACAAAGCCACGCAAGTTATTACGTTAAAACTGAACCAATTTAACGATAAATTAACAGCGTATTTATTTCCAATCAATTCAGAGGCGCATTATGATCTCATTTTGGGTTTCCCATGGCTATTCAAAAATAACCCAAATATCGACTGGCAGACACGTACAATGACAATTACAAGAGATGAAGTTAGACATGTAATTAAATCAGCAAGTACTCTCTCGACAAGAACCAAAAATAAACAAAATAGTGCACAAAACTTTTTGATCAACGCTTCTCAATTGGCAAGATGTGAAGATATTTATCTAGTGAGTGTAAAATTGACACAAAACGATGATACAAATACAGCAAGGAACCAACAACAAATTGAAAATCTAATAAATGAATATACTGATGTATTTTCCGATGAAGTTAAAGATCTGCCACCTAAGAGAGACGTAGACCATGAGATTAAACTAGTTGATAACACGACACCACCGTTTCAACCAATTCATCGAATGTCACCGCTTGAATTAGCCGAATTGAAACAACAATTAACAGAATTAGTGGAAAAAGGGTACATTCGGCCATCGAAATCTCCCTATGGCGCACCAGTATTGTTCGCGAAGAAGAAGGATGGTAGTTTACGTATGTGTGTTGACTATCGAGCGCTCAACAAAATAACAATTAAAAATAAATATCCACTACCCAGAATTGACGAGATGCTCGATCAACTTAATGGTGCAAAGATCTTTTCTCGATTGGATCTAAGAAGTGGATACCATCAAATACGCGTTAGAGATGACGATATCGAAAAAACAGCATTTAGAACAAGATACGGTCACTTCGAATTTACTGTGCTCCCGTTCGGTCTAACTAACGCGCCACCCACATTTATGAGGCTTATGAATTCAATATTTCATGAATATCTCGACGTTTTTGTCATCATCTATCTGGACGATATACTAATTTATAGTAAAAATGAAGAAGATCATTTGAAACATATAAAAATTGTACTAGATTTACTTCGTAAACATCAATTATTTGCTAAGAAATCGAAATGTGAATTTG